GGTCGGCCTTCAGCTTCTTACGAATTAACCTGCAGAGAAAATTGTCTCTATACTCCTAATTTTATTCCTCTTCATACTTCTCTTCTCTAGCAGTTCTTTGCCACCTCTGAGACCCTCCAAGCCAGTGGTCGCGGCTGAGCATGTTCGACTTCTTTTGAGCACCGAAGAAGCTTCTCAGTAAAATTTTGGTATTCTTCTGCAACGCTTGCCATCATAGTCCAGTTGGTAGTTCGGACTTGCCGCTCCATCTCCACTGCCTCCACCTAAGTGGGCATTTTGCATTGATACGACTCATACAGTACCCTTCGTTCGACAGCCAGACATGCGGTGATCGCTTTGAATGAGGGTACTACAGAGACATCTTTCAAAATGCGCTGTGTATCGACCAAACTATAGTCGATTTCATTTTTTGCAACTGCGTTTCGTGTGATCCATGTTCATCTCTGTCCCACTTTCCTAGGGAACCAGGTTTAATCGACCAGTAGTTTGTTGGTCTCTGCCGTCGCTACCATTCTATTACTCCTGTTGTTTCGTTCTCCTACACCAGACCTGCCAGTATGCCTCTCCGGGCTTCCCTCATCGACCGAGTTTTGCGTTGAAGTCGCCCATCACTACCGTATAGGTAGCCTTGACGGTGAGAGTTGATTCGAGCTCCGCATAGAGTTTTTCAACCTCATCGACGTCGCTGGCATAGACCTGAACGATTTTGAGGGTCTTGTTTGAATCCAACCGTAGAAGGAGTATGCCGACTCGCGGTGAACTAAAGCGGCAGGAAAGGATTCGTAGAGACCACTTCTTGTTCATGATAACCCTAATTTCACCTATGTTCATGTGTCCTTCTCCTTTGCTCAGAAGAACAGTGTTGTCATCCCACGAGGTCACGTTGAGTTCTGACTTTCTTTGGGTCTCGCAGACGCCAAAGACACTGCAACTCGTTCTGTTTACCTCCTGTAGGAGATGGCTGATGTGTTCATCCCTCGAGAGCGACGGCCTTGTGAATCTTGAGATTCTCAGCAAACCCTAGTCCTTCGGTTGACGCCGTCGCCGGGACTGGAACCCCTATCCTTTTTTTGTCCACGAGTGTTGGACCTGTCAATTTACCACTATATATACACATCTTAAGACATCTGCGCTTTCAGACAAAGCTTTGCTCCTCTCGAGGTCAGTAGAAAAACTGCAAAGGACAATCGAAAAACTGAACGATGCAAGCCTCTAAGCTAGACGGAAAATTAACCTAAGGAAATATATGATATTTTTTAACAAATACATAACTTAAAAACCTCGAAAAACCTCGAAAAACCGAGGATTGAATAGGTGCAAAACTGTCTGTGAGGGACAGCAATACCAGTAGAAAAATGAAAATAGTGCATGCAGTCATGGAAGATCTAAATTGCATTATTCGTGAAACTTCGTGTAGACTATGCAAGCAGCATGGAAGATACCTGTCTGAAATAACAGGCAGTGCAGGAAGACGAATCATTGGCAGAACTCTGCTATGTCATTGCAAGAGTAAACAAGTTGAAGTGCAACAAGCAGAGCGGACCATCGTTCGACCAATGAGAGGTCAGACTGACATTCGGATGGTCTCCACCCATTAATGGATCGAAGAAGGCTTATTACGATGTATATAATGTGTACATTTAAATTGACGTTACGAATGTTCCCTGTAGCTTTATCTCAAAGTTCCGTGAGGTGAAATATATAACTTGTAATAATTCTAACCGTGGATGCAAAAAATTATCTGGATTAATTAAGGCTAAAGTATTTCTGAAGTTTTCCTCGTGATTTGCACTTTGTTTCTTGATTTCTAACACCACACCCGATGTTCAATCGCAGTTTCTTTCGTATCAGATACGAACTGTGCCAAACGGTTGGTGGTTAGAGTTGCATCGCTTAAACGTGATCTGGAGTATCGCATGTTTGAACTTCGTTCTTCATGGGATTCTCTCAAACAGTGGACAAGAAGAGTAATGGCCTGAGATTGTCAGCGATTGTAAATGTACGTGATGAAATGAATTTTAATCCTTCTTCCGAGCAGGTTTTCAGAAGTACTCTTCCAGCTCACATTAATATTAAAAAGAGGAAGTAGTCACTGATCTAAATAGCTTATAAATGTTTTGTATCTCGAACCTTAAGATTTGCAAGTAGAATGGTCCGTTTGAATTCTACGACTGAGAAGACCAGTCTGCTTATAACTGTTAAGGTTCGAATAAGCGACACGAACGAGTCATTATCTCCTTTTTATAAATCTTTAAGGCTATTATTTCTAGAAAACAATGCTTCTGTGAGCTAGCCCGACAGAAGGATCTTTATTTCGGTCACTGCCAAGTCTTCAAGAAGTGGAG